GCAATGTAGAAATGATGCGGTGATAGTTCAAATGCCGAGAGATGATTGTGTTAACTTACTTTAATGATAATATGTACAGAGGACAGAAATAAAAGTATAAGAAGGAAATGGAGACGATAATAAAATACATGGGAATTAATTACTGATTCGCACTAATTATAACTGTAGTAATTCATGAAGCATGCATCAAAAACAGCTGGTCCACGAAGGAGATGGTTTAATGAATGGGGACTTGGTGAGAAAAACCAGTATATTGTTTCATGCAACTTACACAGTGCCTTGATAAAATACTAAAATCATACATTAGATTCATTATTGCTACCACATATTACTCATATCTGCCACCATATGTAACACACAACCGCGGTAATCTGTGAGTGAGTTTATATCTGTCAAGTCTCCTCTCAAAGCTATTCACTGATGTGGATGTGGTCACTTCGGCTGGGAGAACATTCATAATAAAGGCAACCCTTAATGAGAAAAGTAAGAGCGTGCATGGATGTTCGTTCTTTCGTGTGCACTCTTTCGATGGTTGCCACTATGAGCAAAGTGATGATGTTCTGTTAATTTGGCTGCATTGAAGCGGCTTGGTGTACTCAGAATTCTTTAGGCTCAATAATTGCAACAAACCGTGGGTTTCAAAGTGAGGCCGTACGTACGTTTCAAACACCGTTCGGAACAAATCTAAGGCGATAACATCACGTTGTCTCCTCATAAAGGAGCAAGTTGTTTTTGCCACATCCTCCATATTGTCTGATCTGGTGTCTCAGTTCTCTGTGGTTGCAAGCCGGAGATCGCTGTATGAGGATGAATGCAACATGTTTCAAATAGGACAGGATGTTCATAACATGACATCTTTATATGTTACTTTTTAGTCGACTACTTATTGATCACTATTGTTTTAAGATAACAAGTTGCGCAATTACATAAATAAGAAATTATCAGTCGTCTGGTGTAAGATGAAATAATGGTAACTACTATATTTTTCTATAATGTGACAATACTATACTTTTGGATTAGTAACGGAATAAGCTAGTTCGTAGAGAATTTGAAGTCAACAGTATTGATTTGTAAAAACAAATATCTGGCTCGATTTTTAAGTGATGACTGTGCAACTGCGTTTTAGGGTCATCTGGACCACTGTATAAAACTAAGGTTCTATGTTATGTATTGTGTTTAAAACATTGTTTCATCTACTCCTAGTCTCAATCTCTAGATTATCTTCCTTTTTGACTTGTATTACTGCTGATTGGTGTCTGTTGATTTCTTAAGAACTATTTCTTGATACCATGGAGTAAAAATGATTATTTTAAGCGCTACAAACAATTCATCCTGTCCCTGAAGATTATATGACCAGTTGTCCGTAATTGACTAGACCCCAGAATTCTGACTTAGTCCTTAGACTAAGTTTATTATGATGGGCCTAAATTTTGTGAATAAGCTAATTAGTTTCTCTCATATTATCACGTGAATTTCATGAATCATTATGACTACGTACCAATTTATGCTCGTATTACTACGCGTGCTATTTAAAATGACATTTTCTTTCGCTGAGTTAGTTTTTTTTGTTTTGACCTTTTACTACGCTTCAAGACTACTGTTTTTGTTTTAATTGGGTTTATTTTAAAGTAATCTCCCAAAGTATCGATTTTTTAGAATTAATCTACCAACTATACTTTTGAGCACGTTAGTAGTTCTTGTATTTGATTCTACCCTTGGTTCTAACAATTCAGTTCACTTTTTCATTGTGGTCACTTTCTATCGTCTCTGGCTATTGTTTGTGTGCAGTTCCTTTTTTAAAACCTTTGGCTGATAACTGGGTAGTGTAAAAATGCGATTGTCAACGCCCAGACTGTCTATACTCGTGGAAACCGGCATGCGGTGCGATTAGTGCAAAGGATAATATTACGAAGTTTGTACGAATCTAACGCTTGTAGCTTTGAAAGGGTTTAGTAAAAAAGTTGCATGCGGTTTTGTCAGCAGTCCTGTTCGGACGCGAAGCCATTGCAATCGTGATTGCTGCCAAAAGGAGTATTAGCAAGCATAGTTGAGACGCATTAAATGGTACTCTCTCGGTCGACATACAAATTGATGTGGAGTTACCTTGAACAAATTCAGAGTTGAATAACTTACACGGACCGAATGATAAAGGATAGGATTCAAAGAGGTCTGTTAGAAATAAAAACTCAAAAAAAGAAGTTTCTTCTTCTTCCCGCCCTCCAAATGGCGGCGGGCAAAAAACAACTAGACCCAATCGCAAGGCTAGGTCTGTTTCTAGCGGGGAAAACAACCTGACTACCTAAGTTATCGACATTTATCCAGGATACTACAGTATGTGTAACGCGACTGTAATTGCTACTCCAGTAAATGTTGATGGGTGGGTATAGATCAAGAATAAGAAACAACTTAATGTTGCTAAAGAAAAGCCTGTTCTCGAAACAGCAGCTGAAAAATTGGAGACTGATCATAGTGACAGGTCAGTTGTCCTTGATAGTCAAGGCAAGTGAAAACAACCTAGAATTCGTTTTAAGCATAATATTGACTTGGTAAAATACGTACTAAATTAGTTAATGCCTCAGGATATCTGTGAAGTCACCTTATTAAGGGTTTATAGACTAGGTAGCCAAATGAACTTCAAACAGAATTAAACTAGGCTTTCAAAAGTAGTAGTGAAAGGGACTTGATACTACGGAATGGACTTAAACTAAAGGGGTCAGGATTTTTGTCCGCAAAGAATTGCCGCTCGCGGATAGTATAAAAAGATGCGAAGCTGAAAAAGAAGTAAAACTAAGGTTAGATGGTGGCGAGGATCTTAAAATGGTAAATTTTCAGGGGTTGAGGTTCTGATAAGGTATGATACTGAAGCCACTTTGGGTGCATCATGGAGCCATTTGAATGGTCTTCGGATCTGTTATACAAATATCCGGAGCTACAGATAGACTCTACCAAGCCAGAATTATTATTATTATTCGGACACATAGATATTGGTGCAAGGAGGCACCAAATATATATGCGCCACACGAATCTCAATTGATTTGTGTGAGGGCTGTGATACTGCCCGGGTGCCCAAACCGAAGCAGATGGTTTTCTTAGGAGGCCACACCCCGAGCCTTTGACCTGAACGTCTGACCCACAAGGCAGTGGAGCATCGTAAGGAGATGCAGTCCCATGGTAGCCGGTGACCAAAGATTGGTTCATACGCCATTTGTTCCTTCAGGATACTGGAGCTCATGTACACCATTGGTTTGGAATCGGTTATTTCCAACTCCCCTAAATGGATTCTCCCTGTCCACCGACCCGGCTAAAGCGCCGGACATTCGCTCTTCATTCTCTCAATTTCGTAAACAACACCCCCGCCACGAGAAGGCAGTGAGTAGCACTTACCTGGCAGAGGCTATATACGCGTGGCCATGTGAGAGCATTTCGAGAGGGAGAGCTGACTCTCCACTCGGCCGTACCAGGGCATTTGGGGGCACCAAGCCAGAAACTTGGTTGCTGCAGTCTATAGACAGCAGGGGACTTGATTTTTAAAGTTTCGCATTAGCAAGAACCGACAGAATCCAGAGGCGTAGGGGACTAGTAGTAGCTCCATTCATTAGAAATACTATTCCATTTGTCGTTATTGATAATATATCCTATGGAAATCGGGCGTGCCTGTTTGTTAGTTGCCACTTGAAATACAAGAGGCAAGATCCGCTGATTGTACTGGTTTGCCGTAGTCCAAACTGTTTAGTGAGTAAAGTCTTATTAGATGGTTTCAGCGCTTGGTCATCAAGTGATCATTGTTTAGTCGTAGGGAACTTAAATGCACCTACGGTAGACTGGAAAAATCTGAAGACTGAACCGTCATAAAATTATTTCGAACAGAAACTAGTAGACTAGCTCGGTCATTAGGACCAAAGTCCCCCAGTGGAACTGCTTTGAACGCATCCAGAAATTCGTATATAAAAGTCACTGCACCACATATCCCTTGAACTACACCTTGGGGTCTGAGAAACCCCACCGTGGTTCAATAAAGAGATTTGCACCCTTCTCTGTAAGAGAGGAAAAATGTCGCTACTAACAAGATAATCTCAATATTGGTAAACTCGAAATATTTATGCCTCGACCCTCCGCAAGTCTACAAGGTTATACAAAGAAAAACTTGATTAGGAATCTATATAATATCCTAAACGCTTATACTCGTACATAAACTAAAGGACTAAAGGAAGAGGAAATATTCCAGCATTATGGGGAGATGGTCGTACTGCATCATTAATGGAGAACGATTATAGTAAAGCTCAGGTATTTTCAAATTACTGTGGTGATGCATATACCGGAGATGCCCTCCTCTTCGGTTCATGCAAACTCCTATATACACAGTGGACATTGTGACCATTAGAGAATTCTATGTCTTTCGTTAGCTGAATAAGCTTGACATAGATAGACCCATGAAACCCAATAAAACATCCTAGGTTACAAAAAGGAATCGAATTTTTTTTCGCGAATCCCTTAAGCATATGTTTTAATCTATCTCTATCCCAGGGTGGATTACCAAAAGGCTGGAAGAATGCCATAATGTCTTGTCTTCAAAACAGGTACGAGACATAAACCGGAGGATTATTGACCCATAAGCCTAACCAGCATCGTTGTTAAAGTCTTAAAAAAGATTATTCAGAAGGAATTGTTTAAGTATCTCGACGAAAAACGGCTTCTTTATGAAAAGCAACATAGCTTTAGAACAGTTCATTCATGTTCTGCTAACTTATTAGTAGCCTGTGAAAGTTGGTACGCTTTTAAATACCAAAATTTACCTATAGATGTAGCTTACATTGGCTATTTATTTATTTGGATAAGGGACTTCCTAGTTGGGCGTCAACAAAGAGTATGGGTAAACTCGAAATTGTCTAGCTGGGAAAGTGAGCTTAGCGGAGTGCTTCATGGTACAGTCTTAGGACTAGTGTTGTTCCTCCTGTATGAAAGGACCTTCCTAGTCTCCCATTATCATCGGTTTTGTTATATGCTGACGATGTCAAGATATGGAGAGACAAAATGACCTGGAGAAATTATCTGAATGGTCTAAAATTTGTCAGTGGTCGATACACACATGATGGATAACAGTGAGCTATTTGTTGTCTAGACATATTGACTTAGAAGTCATCGTTAGCGAAAACTTAATAACTACCACACACTGCCGTGCGATAGCCGTCAAAGCTTATGGAATCTTATGGTCAGTACGTGGGACCTTCAGCCATGTCAATACTAAAACCCTTTTGACTTCGTATACAGTATTCGTTCGTAATAAACTCGAGTACTGCATACAAGCAGCTAGCCCCCGCCTAAAAGCAGACAGTGAGCTCCTGGAAGAGGCTCAAGGAACTGCGACTAAGCTGGCTCTCGGAATAGCAAAGCTCTGTGTGATACTCGACTGGTTAAAATGAACCTACTTACATCGTCATATAAAAGAACCAAAGGCGACTTGATCACAGCTTTCAAATTACTGAATGGTAAATTTGCATCTGATATGCCCTCATTTTTGTTGTCTTTCAAAACAGAGAATTTACGAGGACATTAAAAAATTTCACAAGCCCAGAACAAATTACTTGTCAGTTGACTGTCGACTTTCCCATGGAATCATCAATGAGTGGAATTCATTATCTCAACACGTGGTCGACGCTTTCAAAATAAAGTTTGATCAACTGAGAGATCACCATCGCCAGGACTAACAAAGGCCACTTAGCATCCTATCCCTTCCGAACTAAAAGACTCCAACCCTTAACCTAATTACCTGAGCCTAACTAAGAAAAATATGAGGAGTCGTGAAAGTCCGTTTAGACTCTTAAAAGGGTTCGAGAAGATAGACAGCATCCACTGGGACGAGTTAATCGTTATGGGTGGAGTAACCGTAAGAAAAAATCAATAGACTTATTAATTAGATAACATCGGTTGACACTTTGCAATATTGCTGTTGAATTTTCCATAAGTCATCCACATATAAAATCTTTTCCGATTAGTGAGAAACTAGTTGACTACTCGTTGCGGTTGTTTTAAGTTCATTCGGAAAGTATATTTTTGCCAGTTAGGCTTACTGTACAGTTACACAGATAATAACTCCATATAAACATGACTAAAAGCTCACTTCAAAGAACGTATTAGTTGTTTGCTGCTTCTCTTTACTTATGTGCTCACCGTTTATTACTACAAAAAAGTACATGAAGACAATTATTTGTATTTTCCAGGTTAGCCGTAAATTTAAGTAAAACTTTAATCCAAAGTGTTCGTAGTACCTTGAATCGATAGCATTTTTGTCAGTTTTCCATTGCTAGGATTTCTTCTTCCGAATACCATTCACCATTCTTTTGTTTTGTTGACTTTTGAATATTAAAGCTAATCCGGTTAAAATGATCCCTTACTTAAGAATGGAATTTCTGAATTGCTGACACTACTAGAATTAAAAAGCAAACTACAATAAATTAAGAGTAAAGGTGGGAATTTTGGCTGCGTTTGTATCGAGAAAACCAATCGTCATCGAGTGCTAAATCAAAAATATTAACTGAAACTTAGCTAATGATGTTCTCGTTTTCACGCTTTTTGTAGCTTATGTCATAATCCTCAGTGATGTATCTACCTTGGTTAGTTACGCTTAATCCAATCTACCAATTTGACTGTCAGAAGTTTATGATTTGCTTCCGAATTTCACATATTTACACTGAGCCACAAACCATCTGTTTTAATGGCTTAAATGAGTTGGTCCAGCTATAAACAGTATTTCATCACTCATTTTTCCATTTCGGCTACTTAATCTGACGATCCCTTTGTAAGTTTTTGAATTTAGGCTTCGCTGTGTTGTAAGGAGCTCGAAAATAACCAGTAAAAGCATATAGAACAGTCTTCAGTCATATTTTTTTAGAACAGTTTTAAAATAGTATCAATATTCATATACGATCTTCTGTGGATTGATGACAAATCTAAAATCCACTTCGTTTTTATATTTAATCACAACACGGACCAACAACCATTTTAAAATCAATATGGTTTGCTAAATACTGAAACTTGGAATCAGTCCAGTACGTACTGAAGTACTATTAACATCTTCAAGAATGATTTCTAAGCATCAGAAGCGTTGTATATATTATATGTACCTTAGAAACTAGTTAAGATCTAATTGTCACAAGACTTCAAAAGAAAGTGGATAGGTTGTTTATTTTATGGCCATTTAGATTATAAGTTTTAAACAAAGAATTTCGTGTGATTATATTTTATAAGTGTATCTTGACAAACTTAAGCTCTAAGCATATTAGTTCGTCGATTCAAATTTTCACTTGTAGAAATTAAAGTAGGTTAATACTAGCCTAAAGAATAAAATCAGTGGATTTTCTAAAGTATAAAGAGATGAATTAATATCCACCAATCAATAGGATAATCCATTAATAAACAGAAAGCTACTCATATGTGTCGTTGAAATTTACTTTGGGTGAGATTACTCAGTCTAAAACCAGATTCTTTCGTGAAATGCGTTCAATAAGTTAACAGTTCCTTCCAGCTATTTAGCAGTTATTAACTTTTTAAATTAATAATTCATCCTAGTCCGAGCTTTCCCGATAACCTAATCTCAGTTCATATAAGTTCTCAATCTCATCAGTCTATTCCTTTGAGGCTCATCACCTTGTCAGACCCCCCCCTCTATGTTTTTATAGCCTAATGCTTTTACCAAAGATCATCGATTCTTATTCAACTTCAAGAATTCTACATACTGTTCCTATATATACTTAGCCTTTTCAGGTGAATTGAGTTATCACTCAGAGGACTTGAATTTCAATCATAGAATTCCGAGTTCAGATCCCACTCTATACACTCAGTTTGATTTACAATATAGTTCCACTTTTCCTCAAAAATAATGAAGGTATTCAGTTTTTCCATTAATGAAAGTAATGTAAGCTGATACCGGTTACTTAGTGTTGTGTATTCATGCTGAAATTTATTTGGTGATCGAGACTGATGTAATTTACTAGAGATGCGAAGCGCTCAATATGCTCAACTATCTTAACAACCTGAAATCAAACTTCACATTTCTAAAGTTTTTTGTACTTGCTAGGTAAAAAAACTCATGATAAAAGTTTTAAGGATTTCTCTCTTTCTTCCGACAGTTGAATGGCTATGTAACTTAGTAACTACTTACATTTTCATGTACTAGACTATAATCCATACATTGTGAGAGTCAACTATACATCCTGGTTACTCAACTCTATCAAGTGACTTTTGAGGATATGGGATCTTCAAACAACTTGGGAGGAAAAAAGTCTAGACCAATTTAAAATGAGTTTTATTCGCACCAATTTATTAACTGTGAATTCTGTTCATAGACTCATTACGATTTGTGTTCATTCAAAATTACTCAGTTCCTAAATCATAATCATTGTAATGGACATATTATCGGCAATTTTAAATGCATTTTTGGACTTCTACCGTCTTAATCAACAAAGCTTACAAATGAATTTCTTAATCTAGTTAGCGGAACAGTGAAGAAGAGATTAGCAAAAGCCTCATTCACTATAGTGAGGTTGAAGCTAATAATAGCATCTTCACTTTTACCGAAATTCCAACAGATATTTTTACATTGTAAATGAGCTGTGTTTTAATTGTGTAATTTGTTGAACTTTTTCTATTTGTTTCAGATAGACTACATGATAAGTACAGTCGATATATTCATTTCTTGATAACTAAAGAAGGTCGCTACTCATAATCAGTTCATTTCTTTCTCAATGAGACTAAGTAAATATCAACTTTTATCTTACAGAACTTTAAAACAAGTTAATTCAGTCATTAAGTTTCCTTTTCATCTATTAAAAAGACAATTTTCAAGTCAAATCCAAATTTGTATCATTGGTAGTGGCCCATCAGCATTTTATACTGCTCAGACTTTACTAAAAGTAATTATTCGTTTGATCAAGTTAACTAACGAACAAGTGTAGAACCATCCAGGTGTGAATATCGATATGTTTGAAAAACTTCCTTCGCCTTTTGGTCTAGTCCGTTATGGTGTTGCTCCAGATCATCCTGAAGTAAAAGTATTGTCAGCTAATTTTTATTTTACTGTCATCTAATACAAGAATGTGATAAATACTTTTACAGAGGTTGCTAAGAATACACGATTTTCTTTCTTGGGTAATGTTTGCATTGGAAGAGATATTAAACTGGGAGAATTACAAGAAGCTTATTCAATCATTATTTGGGTTCGCTTTTATTTTCATAGTATAATAAATTTTCTATTTTATAAGGCTTATGGCACTGCTGTTGATCGGCGTTTGGATATTCCTGGAGAGGTATGTTCATTTAAGATATCTGACAGATAAAGGATTTACCAGGTGTTTTGTCTGCTAAAGATTTAGTAGGATGGTATAACGGTGCACCCAGCAACGTCAATGTAAACAGCATTTAAAAAATTTTACGTTTAATAAGTTTTCTCCTGATCTCAGCTGTGAAACGGTTGCTATTATTGGTATGGGAAATGTAGCAGTAGATGTTGCGCGGATTCTTCTTTCTCCAGTTGATCGATTAATGGTAATTAAACTGCAATTTATGGATTTACATTTAGTCTACCGATATACCAGAGCCTGTGATTGATTGTCTGTCAAGAAGTAAAGTTAAGAATGTCATTTTAATCGGTCGAAGAGGTCCTTTACATGTGGCGTTTACTCTAAAAGAAATTCGCGAACTCTCAAAACTTCATATAACTTCATCTCAGTCTAAATGTTTCATAAACTTACTACCAAAGGATGTATTCTCTATAACTATGGGGACATCTAATCAAATTCAAGAGTTGCTGTCAGGTAATACCAACAGTACTATTTATTATGCAGTTAAGTTTGGAAATACTGTTATTTTATTGATTTGATTGGCTTCATCAATTATCTAAGAGAAAATATACCTAGTTTTTTGAAGAATAGCATAAACAGGTTTTCAGTGGTGGTCTAACATTAATCGATTCATGATAACGATCAAAGACTCGACAATCTCCACAACCCCATACTGATAAATAGAAAATTTTTTCTATCAGATTAGCCTCGAATGCTCGTGTACAATTACGTCTTATCAGGGCTATGGGTTTAGCGGTTGAACGTTGCTGTAAGAAGGTGCTTCATGTTTAGACACAAAACTTATCATGTAGCTTAATTTGATAACTGCCACATTAAAGTTGCACTATGAAGATACTTGTAATAAATTACATTAAATTTCATGTCATCTGCCGTTAACAATAGTTTTATCTCTGGGATAAAAAAGTGCACTGTTTCGTAGTAGATTCATTCCTTGGTAGGGAGTCAGTTGGTTCATCTACACTATGTGTCATTTCGCTGTCGTAAAATAAATCTATATATTTCTTTAGTCAACAACCTTCCTAGGGTAACTCAAGTTTCCAATAAAATGCAGTCCCTGCCCTAGGTATTAATGCAAACTTTACCTGAAGCAGTGCTTGTATTTAAGATTAATAAAATCATGTCCAAATCATCCCTAATTTCTTCGTTAAACGTTTCCAAAGAATTGCTTAGTTTCTACATGTACCATAGACACTTTATCGTTAAATGCTAATCCACCTTCAAATAAGAGATAATTGAAGGAAGAGATCGTTACTACCAGGAACAAATGTCAAAAATCTAAATGTTTGGTGTATATCTATTTCAAAAGTAATTAAAGTCTATTTCAAATAGTGGTTGGCTAGCCTGCAATTGCACGCATAACTAGTTTACCACATTTCTACTTGTTCTTTCTAGAAATTGTTATCCTCAAATTGAGTTTTTATTGTATAAATGTAAATACTCCGACAAGTAAATATTTGACCGAAGAAGTACCAAGACTTGATAATGACTAAAATAATAATCAAAATCTGACTCATAAAATTTCTCACAGGATCCAAAGTCACTGAATACGGTTCTAGAAAGGTGTAATAGATAGATAAGAAAAGCTTAAGCTAAGTTGAAACCATTATTGTTCTTTCCTCAGCTTTGATTTCCTTGAATATGATTTCAAAAACCTACCTTTTACAAAAATTTTCCAAACGGCATATGTGTTGACGTTCTAACTTAATTTACAGAACTTCCTCGCCCTCGACGTCGTTTAACAGAATTTCTGTTAAAAATGCATAGTTCTTCCGATCACATGACGAATCATACAGCATACCCTGTGTATCATTGTAACTTACAGTTCTTACGTTTTCCAAAAGAAATTGTTTCTTATGGGGAACATCATTCTGACAAAAATCGTTCCATAGTTTCTCACATAAAATTAGCAACAGTTAAGTTAAAAGTAAGTGTTGTAACCGTGAGATTTAAAAGTAAATAGTGTGTTATTTATAATGACATTTTTATACTGATTTATAATATACTTATAATTCATCTCTTCAGGTGTGATTACAGCGCCATGTATTATATAAAATGATAGTGTCATATCACCATTTATTAAAATTGTAAATGTCAGTCATGAGAATGCAAAACGGTGATGCGTAAATAGCCTTTCCTTTTGAGCGACGGTCTTCCAATACACCTAAGAATTGTTGTATTTCATACCACGTTGCCACCAATCTTCATGAGTTGCACCTACTATATGAAATCAAATAAATAATATTCAAGTTATACACACTCGTATGGAGTATTATGCGGAAGTTTATGCATTCCATTTAATATCATATAACTTTCAGTTCAGGGTACGAAATTCCAAGTGTAAAATAGATTCTAATAAATGTAACACGAATTGTAGAATGCTATATTTAGAACTGTTTATTCTCTCATGTTCCATCTTGAAAGTATACATATGAAATCGTCGGTGATTTTGCGTTAGATTTCTTAAGTGTTATTGTTATTCATTGTAAATCTAGTCGCATCTTCCTTAATTTCTAATGCTTAAATTATTTGATTTTTCACACTGTATGTAAAACAGATTATTTGTTAATCTAAGCCTATATAAATCTAATGGTAATTAAAAACTCTGGAACTTCGTTATCGGGAACGATGTTTTCAATTAGAAAATGAATAAAAATTTCTTATATTGGGATAAAAAAAAACTTAAAATCTTTGTAAGCAAAGATGGACAGTGGCTAGCAGTGGAATCCAGGACGTGCGTTTCGTCCTATTTGGGACTCGTCAGCTGGATGTACCTGCATTTCAGAGTTGATGTTCACTCTGCGACTCGAACTCAATGCCGTCCGCGTCAAACGCCATCGCGTTATCCACTTAGCTACTGAGTCCTGATAGCCACTTGCTTGTGCAATCGGGTGAAGTTTAATTCACTCGATATTGTTTTACTTGAATCTTCCCATTGATGTTTAGGACTGCACTTGATCAGTCTCTTATTGGCATATGTGCATACTGTGCGTATGCCTCGATATTGCCTTAATTTACAAGCATTATAAGCAAAGATGGATAGTGGCTAGTAGTGGAATCCAGGACGCGCGTTTCGTCCCATTGCATAAGCAAGTGGCTATCAGGACTCAGTAGCTAAGTGGATAACGCGATGGCGTTTGACGCGGACGGTATTGGGTTCGAGTCGCAGAGTGAACATCAACTCTGAAATGCAGGTATATCCAGCTGATGAGTCCCAAATAGGACGAAACGTGCGTCCTGGATTCCACTACTAGCCACTATCCATCTTTGCTTACAATGCTTGTAAATTAAGGCAATATCGAGGCATACGCACAGTATGCACATATGCCAATAAGAAACTGATCAAGTGCAGTCCTAAACATCAATGGGAAGATTCAAGTAAAACAATATCAAGTGAATTAAAATCTTTGTATCTGTCTTTTTAAACCAAAATGTTTTTCTCGACGTTATAATCACTACCTCCTTATCAGTGAGTGTCGTCTGCAACAGAAGTCACTGAATTCTTGTGGTTAACAGAATACTTGTTTCTCACTACAAATTGTGATCCAGTATCTTATTTATGAAAATAGAATTCAGTCTGTCATACTGGATTATGAATTAAATTCATTATTATTTTCTAACTGCTTCATGACAAAAAGTCTGCGAGAAAAACTCTAAATGAGCCGAACAGGAGTGAAGTTAGACAAAATAATTAGTTCTCCATATTATCCCCTCCTAGAAATCTGTTTTTTAAATACCTGGCAAACCTTAGTACTGATTGCTTTCCTGAATGTGAACATTAGGAATCATTTAGATCTATGTTCTATGCTTGTTGATATCTATCATCAGTATATTATTTATTTTATTTTAACACATAGGTATTGGTACAAGGAGGCACCAAATACATATGCGCCACACGAATCTCAATTGATTTGTGTGAGGGTTGTTATACTGCCCGGGTGCCCAAACCGAAGCAGATGGCTTTCTTAGGGGGCCACACCCCGAGCCTTCGACCTGGACGTCTGACCCACAAGGCAGTGGAGCATCGTGAGGAGATGCAGTCCCATGGTAGCCGGTGACCAACGATTGGTTCATACTCCATTTGTTCCTTCAGGATACTGGAGCCCATGTGCACCATTGATTTGGGATCCGGTTAAAGCGCCGGACATTCGCTTTTCGTCCTCTCATTTTCGTAAAGAACACCCGTGGTGCGAGAAGGCAGTGAGTAGGACTTCCCTGACAGAGGCTATATGCGCATGGCCATGTGAGAGCATTTCGAGAGGGAGAGCGGACTGTCCCCACTCTCGGCCGTACCAGGGCATTTGGGGGCATGTATCATCAGTGTGAATATACAACCCCCAGTATATTTCATACTCAACCGGACATTGATACATACGTCATTTGATGTCTGTAGTTGTTGACAACCATGAAAGAAGCCTGAATTGGTAATGTTTAATGGTTGATTTATGACTGATCATCACTATGTTTGAAACCTAATTTTTGTCGCGAAATATTAACTGATTTTATGTATTTTAGAAGGATGTAGTCGTTGTTTACTATTTTGCTTTACGTAACCATCAAAGCTATCTAGGTCTTTATTCATATTTATCTTCTTAGCACCTAGAATCTAAAGTTTACCTATGAAATCAATTTGAAGAAACGGTACATAGCCATCATTGTTGTAGTCATTGATTTGTGCAGACTGGTTCACTTCGGAGATTGTCTTCGTCATGAACTAACACTAGACATAGAACTATCGAAAACCAAGAGACAAACATAAGACAATTGTTTCATCTTATCCTGGGACTTAGCGACACTTCGACTTTTAGGATTTCTCCAGCTGATGTAATAACATCTGCATGTATCCACTAAATAATACAACGTGTTTTCAATTTCTTAATTTAATATTTTTGCCGATAGGCCTTACTTTCCAGGTTAAAGAACATTGATCGATTTCCATCGTTTAGATCAGTTGGAAGTAAATTGTTTTGTCTATATTTAATGAAAGGATACCTTTTTTGATTTAAGACAAAACATATTACATCTTTTATTTTTATCTTAGGGTCCGACCAGTCCTCATCAGCAAGGTGTAATAGACGATACTCAACCCTTAGAAACTTTACCTTGTGGTTTAGTTGTGCGTAGTATTGGCTACCATGGTGTCCGTATTGATCCAGATTTGCCATTCGATGAACAACGTGGAGTGATTCTTTGCAAAGATAACAAAGGACGCGTAGTTGATCTACCACAAATTTCATATAGTTTCTCTTTAAGCCCAATGTATTGTACTGGTTGGATTAAACGTGGTCCAGTTGGTGTAATTGCCGATACAGCTGTAGATGCTCGTCAAACCGCTGAAACTATTCTTAAGGATTTGTCTGAATTTGAAAAACGCGGTCATGTAGATGTGTTAAACAAACGTGGACTCTCTGTAGTTCAACGCTATCTTAACGAAAGAAGTTAGTTTTTGTCTTTTGACCATACTTATGATATCATCATGTTTTTCTACGTATGATATTATGTGACAAAATTAACAAGTATCATTGATTAAGTTTGGTATTCCACTCTATACCTATTGATTACATATTTAGACGAATGGGAAGCTTTCATGAGACATCTTACCACTGCTTATATTATTACACTGATTATTCACGTTAGTGGTACTCAGTAACCAAGTTTCCGTTTGATTATACTGTGTGTGCTACTTATGTCGACATAAGTAGGATATGATGTTGGTCGTGAACAGAATGTCTGGCAGCAGAGAAACAAGAGGATCGAACAGTAAAGAGTGGAAACAGAATGCAATTGGTGTGAAAATGCGAGAACAATAAAGTCTGAGTCATTTTGAGACAATTGATGGACATTTTGCAAATTAAGCATTCACTATATAGTTGTTAGATTTTATTAACAAGTCCTGTAATTTCTCATCAAATACATTTGATTGTCCCCACTGGTATTTTTGTTCACTACAATACCACTACCTACTGTTGGAACTAAATTGGATGAAATGTGATTCTCGCTTTCAACTTAATCTTTTGAATTATATCTTACGACGAGAAAACCAACATAAAAATATAGTTACCACAGATTGGGTTGGTAAAGTTCTGGACATGTATCTATCTTTTTTACTATCAATCTCAAGCATTTGGTTTATAAAACCTGTTACGAGTCTATACTTTTAAAAAGTCCTGATCATGAAGTTCTTAGTATTACTATATTAATTAAAGTCATCGACTGATAAATTTGAAGATTAAAACGTTACATTGATCTAGTTACCGTAAATCGGATTCCAGTTTATTTCTCTAGACCAGTCGGAATTCTACATGCAAGTTGGCAGTTGTAATTTGTATCTTCTAACTCATTTAGCAATCACTTGAGCAGTCAATGTTCTCAATTTCCTGTACACTTAAAACTCATCGATTAGTATCTACACTCTTTGCTTAATTATCGTATTGCTACATGTTTATGATCCGTGAAAGTTTTTTGATGAATTTCACACACGTGAATACAATTGGTTCATAAAACAAATATTCTATTATATATACTTTCTGATAGATTTTACATTATACTCATTAGCATTTCACAAGTGATAAGTTATTAGTAAGAGTCGTCACAAAGTTCATGTTTAGTTTTATTTTTATCATTCTAATAATTTTCTTTTCACGGCTTTGTGCAGAAAATGTGTGCTTTATTGACCAGTATACACGTGAATATCTCATCATTGATTGACTATATATTTAGTGAAATAGAGGTGTGTGGTGTCGTATAAAAGTGTAAATGGGCGTATACTAAGATTTATTGAAGCCTTAGCCATACGAAAATTCAAACCCCTTTTGTGTATTCAAAAACAGTTTGTTCTCACCTTAAACCTACCCTGGTAACATTAACCTATTATCCAGAGTGATTAAGTTTCAAATTGTGTTCACATTATTATTATTATTACTCTTATTATTATCTTTGTCTCTTACTCCATTTCCAGTCTAGTTGACCTTTTATTTTTATGTATAAATGTCCTTAACAAGTATATGTTTGATCAGTTTGTTCGAAATGTATTGCGCTAATACATCACGTAGTTCTGATAATCTTCGTCTTCTTATTACATTATCGAAATTTATCAAAGGGACTAATTACTTTAAAGAAATAATAATAAATTAATGAGAAATTTGCAGTATGAATATATAATCATCACAAAACTTAGTTATTTTGAAGTTGTTTTATTTTTTGTAAAGAATATAATGGAAAGTTACAACTGAATCTCCACGGGCCTATACTCATCCAATAAAATTATCGATGAAGTAAATAAAGATTATGAGTTGTGTCACCCTACAGTATGGTTATACTTAGAAATCATAAGAATTGGAATTATTTTATTCTAAATTAAGATCTATGACGGAAAAATGTGTTTTCTACTATTTAAGAAAATCTTTTGAATAATCTATTAACTATCTACAAGTTTATTTGCTCGGCTTCTAATTACCCTTTTCTTGTGTGAGGGTCAGCAGTTTTTTATATCCAAACTGAATTTGATGGTGTCTAATTCGAACCTGCAAGATGTTGACTTAAATCTGAGGGTACCACCATAGTAGTATTATTCCTCACTAACAAAAAATGCATTCTTTAAAGCTAATTACATAAACCTAGGTTTAATAATTTGTAGAATATAATTTATTCTGTCACAGTTTAACGAAATTTTAAATGTGTCATTATTGTTTTTTTTCTTCAATTAATGTAGATATACATGTCGTAAAATTTAAAAATTGGGAACGTATTGATGAAGCGGAAAAGTTAGCCGGTCAAATGCTCGATAAACCAAGAGAAAAATTGACTACAATTCAATCTATGTTAAAAACAGCTTTTACTGATGTAGAACAACCTAAATCATCTCGCTGATAGTTTCTAGTTGTAATCTTTTATTATTTACTGTATAAATACCCTAAATAGTAGGATATCTTTAATGGTTTGTATTCTCACTTCAATTCTAAATTTGTTTAATGCCAGTTAAATTTCATTATTGCGAAATTATATAAAAGAAATCAATTCTTATTCTGACTTGTATTTTACTGCATATGGTTTCTTCATGATATTGCATGCAGCCGAAAATTTTTAAAGTATTTTCATATGTTCAAATTCTGTGGTATGGGTATATCGTCAGTGATAAAATAACTATAATATTTCGGCATGGATTACTCAAAAATATAAATTGTACCCAAACAGAATTAGATTATTTTTAACGTGTTCGATTCAACATTAAACCTTCACCAACTTGAATAACTAAAGCCTACGCTACCCGTATATAACCACTTCCTACCTCAATATGCCATGTAACTCATGTGCCAAGTACATGTTTTTATGAAGGGTTTAACCACGCTTTGTATGAAAACTGACAATACTACGCTGCTTCCCAGACTGAAATAAATGGCACAAGATTCAAACTTGTAACCCATTAATTGTATGCCAACTTGTCCAGTCACAATACCACTTCTTCAAGTACGTTGTATTCATTAGCGTTTGAGTAAGTTGGTAATAGGTTCCAGGCAGCCGACCCAATTTATGGTATCAGTTTGGCGTAGAACAATACTTGAAGCCCTCTAAACCCTGTGCTTGATTCCTTTTACTGTTTCTTTTCTATTATCATACGTATCTTTGTTTAGACTTTTATTTCTATCCTCTTTTGATGTAAGCTGAGAACTGATATGTACTCCTGTCACGTTCTACGGTGTTCATAAATGAGTGATTGCATGTTAATTCAGTCAAACTTATAATACTTAGGTGTATGTCGATGTGTACCAGAATGTCCACAAATGGTTCTTATAGTTATTCTCCGTTATATATATATATATATATATATATATATATATATATATATATATATCATTGTGCGATTATATCTCATTAATCTGTGCAAGTAAATCCCAAAAATTTGGTTCGTTCCCGTTTCATTTGTCTAAGTTTAGGCATAAAGATGCAACCGTTATCTCTAACAAAACAAATGTAGGTCATAGTCGAATGTGTGAATGAAAATTTGAGTACAAGTGTGTTGCTGAAGCATTGCTGTTAAGTAACGCCAATAATTTTCAGGTTATCTTTTAAATAAAAAAAATCCCAATTACAACAAATTTGAGTATAAACTCTAGGAATCCACTTGTGGGTATACCGCTAAGTTAATCTTCATTCTATATGTTGATGATTGTGCAACATCATGAATTTACTGAAGTTAGGAATGCTAACCGCCGTATACCATATTAGTGGTCAGAATTCCAAGCACTTGCCTCGGATCCCGAACGTCTGGAGAAATCATGAGTGAACAGCGCCAAGGAGTCCCAAATTAGGACGGAAGGGCTATATGATGCTCCCTAGTTTCGAAGATCTAACAGTCATTTCGTGGTTTGAAATTCTTATTATCTTACTTCCATCTTATTAAAAATGGGTAAATTTCATCCTTTCAGTTCTTGCTTACTAGTTGCTTCTACCACGTAACGACAGCAACACTTTAATATTCCTCTCAAAATCGCAATTAAAGAGAAGAGAACGTGATCCGGTTGCATCTAAGTATAACACCAAGCCGATTAGGGTCGAAAAAACGATTTCAAAGTTAAACTAAGATGAACATTATCGAATGATATCATATCACAATGTCGGCCGTATAGTGAAGAAATCCTAGTTGAGAAAACATTTAATAATTCAATTCACGTTGAATTGCTGAGGACAATATTCACCTGTAAATATGAAAATGATGATTGTGAGCGAGTGAGAAAAAATTCTGGATGAGGAGATATTTCTCTGCTATTTTTGTTAGAGTTCGAATAGGATCAATAGTACAGTTTATGATTTGAATCATGGGTTGGTGTATATATAAATTGACGAAAATCTCTGACGATCAAGAACCTATTACAAAATTAGGAAAGCTAATTAATCATGTAAAAACAATATGCTATTTGACTTAATTTATGATTCAATCATATCTGTTGCTTTCTGACGAGTCGAGTTTCTTTCAAGTCACATTATAAGTCTCTCAGTTGTAGGATCACAACTAACATTTACCAAAGTTTCTATATTAGCGAACTTTTCGATTCTCGCAAGTTAAATTGTAACATGGCATTTTTGTGTGTAATTGTAACAATAATACTGTTATGAGCGTATAATGAGACAGCAAACTAGTAGAGAATACGAACAGTATGATAATAGCAAAGATTAGCCTGGTAATATGGATTTAAAGTTGTTGAACACTTGTTTATTCATCAAAACTAGAGCTTACTAAATGAAGGGAAAGCAGCTCGATTATTTGAGGCCTTCCTAGAAGCCAATTCAAATTTAACATTCTGCACGATATCCAGTAATGACAGTGCAATTCCGTTATATCCACTGCTGTTACCGACTGTGTTTATGAATAACTTATAAACAGTTTATAAATTCTGAATACAGGTGGTAATTTTATTACATGATTAGACGAACAAATAATTAAGTCAATATCTAAGGGTTGATTTAAATTCACTAGATTGCAATTGTCAATTTTCTCTATAGAATAATCGTTTCCATCCTTCCTCATTACCTTCTAATTTGTAAACCTATTTTTCTGGTTATTTTTAAATTGCCTTTTAACTTGAATTAACATGATTTCTCAAAACCAATATTAATTTAAATGCAGATTCACTTAACAGCATATTGACAAGCCCCTCAATTAGTTTAGATCGATTTACAAAATGTTGTCACTGATTTGTTTCTGTACTAGTTCATTTTTTGAATATGTAGATTTATTTAATATTGATTGGTAATATTAAGCAGTTTTTTCACCAGAAGAGATCTTTATTTTGTTCTACTAATTTGATATTAAATGTCTGTATCACCTTCCCAGGGTTGATCTATATGAAAATTGGAGTAAAAAAAATACAAAAATACTTTACTGTTTAGTTTCAAGTTAGACAGGCTAAAGTAGTTTCTGACTAGGTTTTTCGAGAGATTCATTGAATTTCTCCTTAGTCGGATATTTTTCTGTCATTTATCTCAGGCAAACTTAATAAATTTTTTATCCGGCACATAACACTATAACTACAACTATAGTCCTTTTAGGGTTACTGTTGGTCACAAGTCCGAATAAAGGCTGATTGAATGTGGCGTTTGCAACTCCATTCTGTAAAAAAAGACGGACATGGTTGCTTCGCAAAATGAACATTCCATTTCAAATGACTACAATTAATTTGTCCCAACCCATCGCCATGCTGTACGTGTAAATACTTGAATCGTGTAGCACTTTTAATGGTTGTTTTATCACAATACATACTACAAATAGTTAGACCGTTTAATTTTGTCTCCAACTGTGTGATGTAGTACGAAACTATTTTTATTAAAACAACTGTACTACTTGTGCGTAGTATATTTCCAAATAGTCAACTTCAGATACTGTTTTTGAAAATCATTATGAAAAAATCTAAATTAATATCACTCAAAATAATTTTTCAGAAATATTGTCAGATGTGTGGGAACTCCTACATCAGTTTTAATGTCTGTTAACCAAATATTAGGGAATATTCCAAATCCACTCACTTTCAACTGTCCTAACTCTGTGTGTTCAATTGCAAACATTTTAATTACACACAGTTACGTAGATATAAAGATTGAATTGGTTTTGTTTAGTAAACTTTACGTCAGCGTTAATAAGGGATCAATGAAACTCTTTGTGTATTAAAGTAGAAAAAATTATCTAAAACCACGGGACTTTAACACCATGTATAGGGCAAACGTCATAATCATGTGTCCCATCAATATTGACTCAAAATTTATGAACGAGCTGAATGTTAGTAGATAAGGCCTACTGTGTTATCATTTGTGTTAAACTAATTCCATTGATATACCAATAATTAATCATTTAGTGAGGGGTTTTTTACTTAATTTAGCCTGTTTTCCTATGGAGGGTATACACCACAGATCTACAACCAACTCTGTCAGGGGAGCTTCTTCCAACTTATATCAGTACTATTCACGCTCTTAAATTCTGCCTACGACCACCAACTCAATATGTTCTTTGGTCTGTCTCTTTACCTCATACCATAATTATTCCGAATTTGGTCTTACCTTTTGATTATTTCCGTAAACTTTGATTTATCCACCTCCAGCGTCTTTTCTTAATTCCCTTATCGACTGTAAAATAGTTTATTTTCTGACAGAGTAGTTTTCTGTTGATAGTCCCTGCTTAATAGACCTGGAGTATCTTGCACTAGAGGACGTTTATTACTACTTGTACCTCATTGGTGAAGGTCGTGATAGTTATCTGATCTTCAGTCGCAAAACGTAGGATTGTTTTAACGTTAGTGTTAAGAAATATGACCCTGGTGTTAACCGATAGTTCTTTTGAATTCCAGACGTTTTTCAATTGTAGGGATGTTGTCCTTGCTTTCCCAATTCGTATCATGATATATTTCATGTTTATCACTGATGTTGTACAGGAAAGTGAAGGCTTCCATCTCTGAAGAGTTAAACATCTCAATATGAGCATGGAATACCATGGACACTTAGAAAACAACAGACCGGATCGAAATCCGCAGATTATTTGGTCCTTCTATCCTACAAACAGTAACTAAATATAGATGAAGAAAGCCAGGGTCCCAATGGCCTCCAGTGATGTAGACTTTAAGACCTACACTTAAACACAGAGAGCAATAACAAAATCAAACTTGATTACGAAGCTTCGTTACGAAATATGATAATGGTTCAATTAAAATGGTAATCTTTGAACTTAATAAATATTTTACTGGCTTCGGATTTGATAAGCAATAGCTTATATTTTAATTAAATCTACACCTTTTAAAATACAGTCACTAATTTAGCATAGGACCTATATTTATGGGTATAATTTGAATACATTTAGTAGTAATTTCATGGCGTCTTTTAGTTAAAGAACTTAATTTTCATTAGGAGCCTCACAAGAATGTCTATATAGTATGCTGAAAAGACGTACTTCATTGGAAATATGAAAGCAAATACAACATTGGTTTAATGGAAATTCTACGTCAAGTTAGATCAATAAATATTCCTTCTCTAATAGGTTGAACATCAATAAGTACCTATCATAATTTTTGCTGTCGTCACTGTTAATTTTTTTATTTTGTCTTTAAAAAATTAAGTGCATGAACTTCTTTAGATAAGGAAGAAGTTTGAAATCGAATGAAATATCGGTCTATGATTATCTAGCTTATAGGGAACTTCATAGAGTGATGAATCCCCCAAGGATATGATTAGTAACTTATGACTTCATCTTCCACATTAGAAAAACGACAATAGTCCCTATGTTTTATAATAATACTCATCTGTCCAATTAAATTCAGTAAAGGTGTCCATAATTTTATGAAGCGTGTATCCTGGATTCCACTCATTGCTACAATTCAAACATTACAGAAGTTACTTTGCCTGTCAACTGACAATTTTGTATTAGTTTAATTACCATTTTTCATCTTAAGTAATTGTTAATTCGCCTTGACTTTTCGA